GCTATTGTGACCAAAGCAACAATAAACATGCGTGTGCATATATCTTCTTGAGTGGCAGTTCTGGTTTCTTTAGGGTATATTCCCAGTAGTGGAATTGCTGAGTCAAATGGTACTTCCATTTCCAGCTTTTTGAGAAAGTGCCATACTACCTTTACAGTCCCACCAACAGTGAATAAGGTAAGGGTTCACCACAACAAGATAAACAACCCAATTGAAAAATTGGTACAGGATATGAACAGACATTTCACTAAAGAAGACATTCAGTTGACAAACACATCAAGAAATGTTCAAAATCCCTAGCTCTAATAGAGATGCAAATCAAAACAACTATGAGGTATCATTTCACCCCAATAAGAATAGCAAAATTTAACAGAACAGCAAACAACAAATGCTGGTGAGGTTGCAGAGAAACTGCAACGCTTCATAGATTTCTTACAGTAGTTCTGATGTTCTCGGTTTGTGATGTTCCTTTCCTATTGTTTCCACAGCTCCCAAAACTCCCTGATGTTGTATTTTAAAAAATTAATTCTTTTTTAAATAGAAGCTTATTACTAGAAACATACTTTTCATTTAGTCTTCTGCATTACTTTTCTATGATTCTTGAAAAGAGAATGAATGCTCAATTAGTATACAGGGATTTAATAGATTCTGCCTCTCTTTTCCCTTTTAGGTAGTTATAGTTTTTATGATATAGTCTGAATATTTTTTTTTCTCAAGTGTAAAACATTTCTAGCTTTGGTACCTCTTCCAAATTTCTTCAAATTATTTTAAATATGGGAACACTTAAATGACTGTCATATTAGCTGTACCATTGAACTGCTTAGCAAATTGCAAGTGTTCCTTCTGTGCTTCTTTTGTGATTTGCCAGCAAGATTTCTTTTCAGCTCACACAATCCTATAACGCCTGCTTTTTCAGAATGCAAAGTCAGGATTAGAAGAGTTTGGAGACCTTATCAGATCACAAGATGGACCATCTTCCCCCTCTACAGAAGGAAAGAAACTTACTTCATGTTGAATTGTTGTTATGTTCTATAGTCAGAACTTACCCATAGCCAAGCCTCCAAGAGGCTTTAAGAGGCTATAAATCATATGGGTGGACACTGCCTATCTTTTTTCCCATGGAGCAGCTGGTGAATTCAAACCTCATGTCTTTGGCTTAGCAGCACAACTCCTTACCTGTAGGCCACCAGAATAATTTGACCTTAATTTTGCTTGTGTAGCAATTAGTAGAGAAATACCTTTCTGGTATTATCTGCTTTCCATCCAACTTTAGTAAAGAGATCTCTCATTCTATATAGCCTTTTCTGAATCCAACTTGAATTGCTGACAGTTTCTTGCTCCCATTACTTTTTTTTAATGCTAATGATTTGTTTTTTGTAAATGTATTTAAATTTATTATTAATTTTAGTCAAAATTTACAGAGACTTTGGATTTCCATTCATTCATTGTTGCACTTTTCTCCCCTCCCAACTCTCCTCCCTAGTACACTACCCTCTTGGAAAAGTAAAAGAAAAATTCTTTCATTGTTTTACAAACCCTCCCTCACCCAGGTCCACTCCACCATGTAGCCTTCGTTCTAGACTCCTGTCATGACAAAAATACCTAATCACATATCCCTTTTAAACAGTTTTCTCCCTCATCTGTTTCAATGCAGTATACATTGTTGAACCCATCTTTCTCAGTCTTTCCCCAACCCCTGTTTTACAACAGTGGCACCATGCAGTATTTGTCCTTTTTTTACTGAGATACTTCACTCAGCATAATGTTCTCCAGAGTCACCCATTTTGAATAATATTGCATGAGTTCCTTGTTTTTCAATGGAGCATAGTTCTCTATGTGTTTGTTTGTTGGTGGGCACTTAGGTTGTTTCCAACTCCTTGCTCTTGTGAACAAAGCTGCAATAAACATGGGTATGCATGCTCCCGTTACTTTAAATAATGTTCAACAAAAAAATTTTACTTGCATGTGATATTAGTGATATTCTTTGATAATTTCCACATTCTGTTAGACCACTATACTTTGGAATGGGGGAGTGAAAAATATGGGTCTCTTCCAGTTTTTCAAGTTTCTTGACACAGACTAGTGAACACATCCAAGGCTGCATCTGTTTATAGAAACACATCCATTGGTATTCCATCAGTTCCTGGGGCCATATTTTTTTGCCAGTATCTTCAGTGCAACTTGAACTTCTTCCTTTATCACATTGGCTCTTCATCATATGCTACTTCTCTCCCTCTCTCTATCTCTGTGTGTGTGTGTGTTATACAAGCTTTCATTTACATTTTGTTTTGTATAATCATTCATATATATTTTATATCATTAATTACTGTTGATCAATGCCTGTTATTTGTGTTATAAAAGCTTTCATTTACATTTTGTTTTGTATAATCATTCATATACTTTTTATATCATTAATTACTGTTGATCAATGCTTATTATTACCTCATCTTTCCACTTTCTTCACCACCTCCATCCACCCACTAACCTTTACTATCCTAGTGATTTCCACCATTTCCCTTATTCTACTCCCTTTCTCCTTTCCCTTTTGAACTTTTATACACATCTTTCTCAGCTATCCTTCTATTTTTACAATAATGGTCTTATACAGTACTTGTCCTTATGAAACTAAGTTATTTAGTTTAAAACCATTGTTCCTTAGTGCTGCATTGTGCGTCATTTCCTCAACCCATTCATTTGTTGATGGCCATTTGGACTGTTTCTATTTTCTTGCTGTTGTGAATAACACTGTTATGACCATAGGTATAAATATAATATGCTACTTCTTGAAATGATTCCATTTCTATCGGGATTTTTTTTGTTTGTTTTTTCAAATTCATATTTTTATTATTCTTATACGTTGTGTTTCATGCATGTACATTATATTTTATACAGTCCTTCATTTATATTTCTTTCCATATAATGAACTTTTATTTTTACATTATGTTTTATAAAATTAAATACCACTGATCTATGCCCACTACTACCCTGTATTTTCAGATCCCGATTGTATCTTTCCTAATTCCTTCATCCCCTCCTATCACCCACCAAAATCTGCCATCCCAGTAATTTTCCTCCTCCTTACCCTTATCCCTCATATCCCCTCTTCACTTTGGGGACATTTATATACATCTTACTAGTTGTCCTTCTATTTTCACAATAATGCACTTATGCAGTATTTGTCCTTATGAGACTGAGTTAATTCACTCAACATAATGCTCTCTAGCCTTTCCCATGTTATACAGTATGCTTCTAAATCATTGCTTCTAAATGCTGCATAGTATTCCATGTGTGAATATACCACAATTTCTCAGTCCACCAGTTCTTATTGATACAATGACTGTATATTCCTTCTATCTTCTTTTGATGCTTCCTGCATCGTTCAGGATTTTGCCCCTGGAATTCTTCAGCATTGAAACTCGAGGACTGAACTTGTTTTTTAGGTCTGTCAACTTGAGAAATGTCAAGTGTGTTTTTTACTTTTCATTTTCTAACTCTAGATTTTTGTACACTTTGTTGTAATACTTTGTTTTGTATTTTCAAGCTGCCCTTGAAAATATTCTGTTTATCTTTTACTTCACTATGTATTCCCTTTGTTTTCTAGCTCAATTTTTAGCCATGAATATATCAAATGCCTCTGCAAAGGCATTTCACTATGTGGACCATAACAATTTATGACTAACATTAAGAGGAATGTGAATCCTAGAACACTTAATCATGCTCATGCAAAATCCCTAGACCAAAAAGCTGTTGTCTGAGCATAACATAATAAACCATTGCATGGTTTAAAATCAGGAAAGGTGTGCGTCAACATTGTATCCTTTTCTCCATACCTATTCAATCTGATTGCTGAACAAATCATTTGAGAAGCTGAACTATATGAAGAAGAATATGACATCAGAAACAGAGGAAGACTCATCAACAAGCTGCATTATGCAGTTGACACAACCTTGGTTGCTGAAAGTGATGAGGACTTGAGGCACTTGTGCAAAATAATCAAAGCCTCTAATATGGATTTAATTTCATCATGAAGAAAACAAAAACTCTCACCACTGGGCCTATCGACAACATTGTTATAGAGAAAAGACTGAAATTTTCAATGATTTCATTTTACTCAGATCTGCAGTCAACACCATGGTAACAGCAGTTAAGAAATCAAAAGATGTGTTGTGTTGGGAAAATCTGTTGTCATTGGCCCGCTCCTAAGGTGCTAAAGAGCAAAGATGCCAGTTTAAAGACTAATAGGCACTTAATCCAAGCCATGGCCTTGTCGATTACTTCCTGTGAGTCTGCAATTTGGGCAGCAAATAAGGATGACAGAAAAAGATGTCTTTGAGTTGCGGTGTTGGAGAAGAGTATTGAATATCCCATGAATTGCCAAAAGAACATCTGTCTTGAGGAAGTGTAAACAGTGTCCTCCTTAGAGACAAGAATGGTGAAACTCCATATCATACACTTCGACATGCTGTCAAGAGGAGCCAATTCTAGGAAAAAGATGTCATTCTAGGAAAGTAGAGGATAGGAGAAAGAGAGGAAAGCCCTCAAAAAAAATAGATTGACACAGTGAGTCTAACAATGAGCTGCGGCATATCAAAGAATTGTTATTATACGGCAAGGTTCAAATCAGTTGTTCATTGGGTTGCTATGTCATAGGTGACTCAATGACACCTAACAACAGCCATTAATGGTCATGTCACTGATTAATAGTTGGAATGCTTCCATGAATGAGAATATGTGTATGGAAAGAACAAAACAGGAAACGGAAATTTGTCATTTCCTACATGACTGTTTAACTCCCATAGACACATATAGCACAATTTCTCTTAAAGCCCAACTTTTAAGTTTAGAGTAAACTTAGAATGTGGTATTTCTTTTCTAAAAATAGCTATTATGACTGAATCCATACTAGCATAAAGGAGTGTCCCTGAGGGCTATCTACAGCTTCACTATGCTGACCAGGTTCCTAAGCCTGAATTGCTGGGTGCTAGCCTAATACTGGCTACCCATAGTGGACATGTGAGGTGCTGTGGGTTCTGTGGGATTAGTGTGGGCCACTGACTGAAGGCTGATCATGGACTGAGTGGCCTACCTCAATGGCATATTTAAGGACAATTGATGGAGCTGACCACCACCATTTCCTTTGGTGTCTGTTGGTGCTAGCCCCTCCCACTTCAGCAGTCCCATCTGGAATGGCCAGAGCCCTCAAGATGAACATCAAGAAATCCCACGAATTGTCTTGAAGACTTGGTGTGTTCTTGAAAATGACTGCAATGTATTAACACACAGAGAATTAAACTGCCTTTGAAACTTGCCACCCCTGGATATCGATTGCACTGGCCAGTCTGACTTGTCTGTTCTTTCCACTTTCCATGCAAAGATCTTTCAAATATAGGAAACATTTTTCTAGTTAAAATAAAATTTTATTTATATATGTGTATATACACACACACACAATGAAAATAGCTTGTTGTATTAATTGCCTAAATGACAAGCAGTCATTTTCTTTCAATTACACAAAAAGTTCAACAGTAATTTGCAATCATACAGTCAGGAAACTATTTATGATGAGGTGGTGGTTGTTGTTGTTCTTATGTGCTGTCGAGTCTCCTGCAACTGTCAAGAGAAGCCAGACACCGTCGAGTTTTAGTCTCATACTGGACAGGATGGAATAATGGCTTGAGTCTGGTTTTCTTTAGCTCTAAGCAGAAATAATGGCTGTATCGCAAGTGTATGCAATTCTTATTCCTTATACAAAAAAATTAACTAACTGCTGTTGTCAGTACAGCAATATTAATCAACTGAGTGATAATGGGTTTTCTAAAGAAAAATCACATACTTTTAAAAAATACTTTGATTGAAGATTAATCAGAACTGGCTTTGACAAGCACTGTGGCATTTGGACAAGAACAAACTGGGAGGAGGGTGAAGAGAATGGTGCAGTGGTGAATGAGTGGAAACCCAAAATCTCTGTAGATGTTTGTGAAAATTAATAAAATATAATTATAGAAAAAAAATAAATCATTTACAACTGTAAAAAAGTACTTTGATTAATATTTTTATCCTTTTAAAAGTAGAGATATAAAATGTTTTCACAGAAAAGTACCGATTTCATGTAGCATAGGAAAAGGCCTATTATCAAGTTGACTGATTCAAACTGCAGATCTTTAGGTTAGCCCACCAGGGCCACTTCAATAGAGCATACCCATCTCAGTACCCTCATATAGTCAATTTCAGTTGTTGGACTGAAAGACACAAGTTTTTTTACAATAGTCAGGGTTTCTTATGAACATTTTATTATGGCTCACGTGAAAGTTTAAACAAATTAGCTTCCATTCTTTTCCATTCCATTCAGTAATTTACAGAGTTGTGCCAAGGCATTCATTGCAACCTCCACTCTGGGCTTCTTTCATCCCGTTCCTACCCCTCCCATCTTTGTCATTCATATATATCTATATATGTATAAAATTAATTTTAATATAATTCCTTTACATTATACTTCATTCATATACATTATGTTTTCTACAATCTTTCATTTACATTATGTTTCATACAATCATTCATATATATTCTATTTTATATTATTTTTCTTTTTCAAACTTTTTCCTTTTCTACTGGTTTTTTTACAAAGTTCATATACATTGTTTTTGTCTTTTGATAGATATTTTCCTTTTACTTTCAGCTATTTATTTCAAAGACTACATTTCTCAGGTATATTTATTGTTTCTTTTTAAGGACAATTTGGCTGAAAGTTGATCTCTGAGAGTAGCTTCAGTTCAGTAGATTTAGGAGTGTCTTCAGGGGTTGTTTTGGAGAAAATATGAGCAGGGTCATCCTTAGAGGTGAGGATGACAAGGGGATATTTTGGGCACATTAGGAGGGATCATGCTTGGAAAAGTCAAGGGTCAGTAAAAGAGAGGAAGATCTTCAGTGAAGTGGATTGATACAGTGACTGTATCAATGAACTAGAGTGTATCAGAGATGATGAGAATGGCACAGGATAGAACAAGGCTCAGCCCTGCTGTTCATAGGGCCAATATTAATCATACTCAATTCAACACCACTTAACAACAAAGGTCTCTATTAGTCCAATAAGTCTGATCTTTATTAATGAGTTTTAGTTTTACATTTTTCCTCCCATTCTAACCATACCCCTCTAGTTTGTCCCTGGTCTGACTGTCAAAGTAAAAGTAAGCCAGACACCATCTAATATGGTCTTGACTAATGAGGTTATGGTTCAGATGAACCCTCATTTCTTTGCATTAATGGCTTCTTTTTAATTTTATTTTCTTCACTTTCCTTTGCTCCAAGTGGAAAAACAATAGTTCTATAGGAAATTCTGATACCTCTTTTGATAATTAAAAAATTTGCCAACACCAAAGTTGACAACAAAACAAAAACTACCTAGAGATAAGCCTTGTGTTTTATCTACTAAAAAGCAGACAAATAGCAAACCACTGTATTCTGCAATTGTATGTAAAGGGTGCAAAACCGGAACATCTACAGATGATCTGTTTCAGATCCTTTTGATATGCTTGAATTTTGTCTCTGCAAGTCATCTTAATTTTCAATACAAGTATGACTATAAACCAATATCTGTGAATATACCTGATACTTATTTATATCTTAAAACCAAAGAGTTTTCTCAGTGCATGAGTTAACAAGCTACCTATGTCACCTTAAGTTGGTGTCCTGCATAGAATAACATGAACACTTCTCTTTTGTACTATTTTCCATTCACATTATCAATCATATGGTCTTGTGGTGACTTAGATTTTTTTATAGAGATTATATAGTGTCTTCTTGAATTTTTTGTCTAATATAAGAAATATAATGGGGTCTGTGCTGCTTCTGGCTGAAGCAAGACAAGTGAGGATGTTTTTTATTTCTATTAAATAATTCAGTTGCAGACAGTTGCATCTACCATGTATAATATAAAAAATAGGTTTAAAAATACTGTATGGAAGGAAGCAAACTAATAATAGAATTTGGATGACCAAAAGATGCCTTTTCACAGAACTGTAAATATAATCTTTTTCCACAATAGATGTGCAGGTGCTTATTTTTCTCAGATGGTTGACAAAGGCATAATATGATGTTAATACTACAAAAAATGAAAATATTATAAATGTGGTTCCAATGAGACTTGCAATCTGGGAAATTGTAGCCCCTAGTTCTACTTGCTTGTTATAGCACTGGCTTTCTTCTCCTTCAGAAGCCTCTACAACTAAATAGTATGTTCCAACAGGAACAATTACACCTAATACAATTCCCCAAATGTAAAAACATAGTCTCTTGGCAAAATCGGGTTGGCGAAATTTTTTCAGTAAGTGACCATAAAATATTTTCTCATAACATGAAGTGGTCACCTGTGTAGAATCCACTTTCATTAAGGTTGCATAGCGGCTGATGGCAATCCAACTTAAAATTAAGAGGCTCACAAACATGCTTATGTGCATGGCTAGGGTCCCCAGGAAATTAACTACAGTGCATTGTACAGTTTGATATTTCCAATGAAAACCTTTCCCGAAATAGAAACTCATGAAAGGCATGGAGCTGCACACAAGTAAGTTTGAGGTCACAAGATGTACAAGGTAGATGTGGGTTGATGTTTTCTTACTTATCTTCGTTAAAAATATCCATTGAGATAGAAAGTTTCCCAAGAGGATTGCAGAGGGTTGAATGCATGTTGAATTGTTATTCATTTAGGTCAGATTTCCTTGAGTTTTGGCACAGGAGCTAGAACAGAATCACAGATATTTACTATTAAAATTATAGATTACATTTAAGCTGAATACTAAAATAAAAGTATATTTTTAACAAAAATGTATTGGAAAGGTATAGATGCCATCTCATCTCACCTTTTTAAATCAGGTGAGATGTGTAAACACAAAAAAAGTTGATTATTGTGGTGGGAAATACTTTTGTCTGAAAAACAAAATGTAAATTGTTAAATGCTTGGTTTTTATCATTTTGTAGAAGGAATCAACTTATAAAGGAGATTTACTTTACCTCAAAAATTATTCTTTTAAAGCACTTGCAAGTAATTCATACAGCGTGAAATCATAGACATATTTTGTACTGTAGAGAAGATGTATTCTTAATTAGCATATTCATTGTATATAGTTTTTAAAATGGTATCTTTCCAAGGCTACATTAAAACATTTCTCTATAATCTATTGTTAGGACTGCATCCTTCCATATAGATTGAGGCTCACTATCAAGACAAAGATTCTCACCACTGAACCAACTGGCAGCATTAGAATGGATGATGAAGAGATTGAGATTGTTCACAGCTTTAGTTTGCTTGGCTCCACAGACAACACTCCTGGCACCAGCAGCCAGGAAATTAAAACATGTATTGCGATGGGAAAATCTGCTGGTAGGGAGCTAACCATAGTACTGAATAGCAATGGTGTCATTCTGGAGACTAAGGTGTGCCTGATACAGGCCATGGTATTTGCTATCACTTGCTATGAGTCAGAGAGCTGGACAATGACTAGCGAGGATAGAAGGAGAATTGATGCCTTTGAGCCGTGGTGTTGGAGATGAGTATTGAATATACCACGGACTGCTAGGAAAACAAACAGATTCATTCTCGAGAGGGTTAAACCAGACTGCCCCTTGGAGGCAAGGATTCTGAGACTTCATCTGACATACTTTGGACATGTTACAAGGTGAGACCTGTCCTTGGAGAAGGACATCATGCTTGGGAGTATGGAGGGTCAGCGCAGGAGAGGAAGACCCTCTATGAGGTGGCTTGATTCAGTGACTGGGGCAATGAGATTAGGTATGTCTGAGACAGTGAGATTGGCACAGGAGAGAACAGGGTTTAGGGCTGTTGTACATAGGGGTCGCTATGAGTCACAAGCTACTTGACTGCACATAATAACTACAACAACAGTAATCTATTAGAAGAATTTCTTCATAGTGGAGTGGATTGTATAACAACGAAAGAGTTTTCTTTTACTTTTCAAAACAAAGGCTGCATAGTAGAGTGAACCTGGGGGAAGGGATTGTATAACAATGAAAGAATTTTTCTTTTATATTTCAAAGAGAAGAGCAAACTGGGGGCGGGGAGGTTGGGCAGGGAGAAAAGTACAACAATGAATGAATAGAAATCCAAGTCTCTATAAACTTTCATTAAAATTAATAATAATAAT